ATTGCATCTTTTACAAACGCTGATCCAAGCATCACATCTTGAACAAATGTGTCCCACAATTTCCATTCTGGGTAGATATGATGCGCAGCATCAAATTCCATAAACTGTGCGAATCCTTCATTTAGCCATAACCCAGTCCACCATTCCATTGTCACTAAATTTCCGAACCACTGATGGGATAGTTCGTGACAAATTGCACGTGTGGCATCTGCCTTGATTTCATAACTACTCAGCTTCTCATCTACAAGTAAAAATGTCTCGGTATATGTCACAAGTCCCCAATTCTCCATCGCGCCCATAAAATCTGGAATAGCCACCATATCCAATTTTTTTAATGGGTATGGAATTCCAAAAGTTTCAGTGAAGAATGATAGCGCTTTGGTAGCCACATCGAGAGCAAAGCGTCCTCGAGCGCTCTGTTCTGGTGCCGTGTATACGTTCACGACGATTCCCTCTTTGGTCAAATTCGAGATCATATCAAACTCCCCAACAACCATTGCAACAAGGTATGTTGACATAATGGGAGATTCTGCAAATTTCCAAACCTTTTCCATGACTTGCCCCACATCCCAACGTGTATTTTTTCGAATGTGAGCGTTCTTTTTCGGTCGCACGAGTGTCTCGACAACATGAGCATTCGATAATGCAACAAGATTAGTTTCTGTCACCATAGATATATTAAATGTTGCCTTTAAAGCTGGTTCATCCCAGCAAACAAATGCACGACGAGCATCACACGCTTGAAACTGAGTGACAGCGAGCACCCGTTTCTCCTCGTGGCACTTGTATTCAGTACGATAGAAGCCTCGTAATTGGTCATTTATAAATCCATGAAATCGAAGCTTTAGAATCACATTAGACTTAGGCACTAGTGGCTCAGTGAAGTGGAAGGAGATCAAATCGTTCGTGGTCTGATATGTGATCTGCTGTGCTTCTTGTGTAGTTCCCGCTATCTCAACCGACACATCAAATACATAAAGCTCAACAGCATGACAGGTAATGATAGATGTAGCCTCATGGACGCATAGCACGATTCGTTCCGAGCCTTCAAAGCGAAAATTAAGTAAATCGATGATTTCATAGTGTATGTGATACTACAAAGTGTAGGAAGCGAGAAGAAAAAAGACAATGTATACGAGACTAAGATACATAGAAAAGATCAAAGCATGTAGTAGTGACTGACCTGTTGTGGAACGACGCACGTTGGTAGACGCTGGAACATATTGGCGTCGGCAGACATGGTGGTAGAAGATGTGGTGCCAAAAAGATAGTGGTCAAAAAATAGCGTCTCTCATCATTTGGCAAATTAATGATGCAAATTTCTGCGATTTTTCTAAGCAATTTCTCAACATATAAAAAATTACATGTATTACATCACAAATGTCGCTAGTATATAGAATGACCAACCCATCAAGTTCCTACGTCGTTATTCAATGAGCTCTACGTAGTTAGGGGAGCGTAGACGACGCGTACGAAACTGTGATGCATCAATGAACACTCCATTAGCGTTGTTCTCTTCACAGCTTTCAGCTTTCAATTGGCGTCGCATTATATCAGTAACCTGGTATGCTAAACAGCTGCTTAGCTAAAAGAAACAGAAGTAACCTCGACTGGTTCATGTCTTTCGTTCTTCTCTTTAATCGGTAGCAAATTTCTCACTGCTTCCCTTCAGACAGACGCTGCGTTTTTAAGTGACCGTTTCATGAATCCTTCTCGATAAACAGTCCTTTGATCTAGGCACATGTTTGTATAA